CCCTGGGACCTGGTGCCAGGCTGTCTGGGTGTGGATTTCCGCTCAGTTCATCACAGGGCTTTATGTCTAAAAACCTCAGCTCCTCCCCAACGCACTCTCAGGGTGACAAGTTGCTGGTTGTGCAGAGCGAGAGCACAAAACCTGGAGACCCCATATTCTAGTCTCCGGCGGAGTGGTAGTTCCGGTTCTGGGGGGCAGGGGGCGCACCATCTCTGCTTAGGGGGCCGCCTCTTGCCTCTAGAGTGTTCTCAGGTGGGGTCAGAGCTGCAGAGGGCAGCAAGGCCATCCAGGAAACGCCAGGGCCACGGAGGGGGAGGGCCGGCTGCCGAGGGAACCTTGTCAAGGTGGGTCCCAGGGTCTCTGCAGCCGGTGATTCCACGGGTCAGGGTGGCGAGGGCTGTTCGTGGAGGGGTGGCTATGGCAAGTGGGGCTGAAGTTCTCAATGGTGTTTTCACAGCTACACTTCACCACCATCCTGGGGCAGGCAGTATGATGCTCCCTGTCATACGGATAGGCAAATGGAGGTCCAGAGAGGTAAGGAACATCCCAGTCCCACAGGGGGTAGAGAAGGCAGGAAAAGGAGAGCCGCCTAGGGTGCCTGGTGCCTGAGGGGTGGGTGGGCCATGGGAACTTAGGTTAGGGCTTGCCCGCCCATCCTATAGGGCTTTGGACGTCAGGCCAGGGAACTCGAGGTCTGGCTGGGAGGTGATGACAGGCAGGATGATGGCCTGCTAAAAATGTGGCCTTATTACTTAAGGTCACCTTGTGTCCCGTGCCCATCCCAGGCATTGGCTTGCTGTGACAACTTCTCCAGCTGGGTGTGTGCAGTGCCCAGATGTCCCTCCGGCTACTCTCATGGGATGGGCACACCCATGGGGCACAGCTCTCTGAGATGTGGCTACTCTGAGACTTGCTGGGCAGGGCAAGACTCCTTATTTCCCAGCAGCCTTTGTGCCTGTGCAACCTCCCCTGCTGTCTCCCTGGGTCCCGCTCAGGTGAGGCCTGCAGGGCTCCCATGATGAGCGGGGTGGGCGTGGCAGCTGAGGGCTGGATGAATAGGGCGGGGAACCAGAGGGTCCCATCATTCTGTCCACGGGGATATTTATCTTCTTTATCTTGCAAAGGGTCATTGAAACAGAAGAAAACCAAGATGTGTGACTTCAGTGTTTCCAAACTAGCTTGACCTTATGTGGCCCTTGGGTCAGTCACTTGACCTTCCAAGGCGTCGGCGGTCCCGTCTGTAGATTGCAGTTGGGCCCAACAAAGACCAAAAATCATTATGATGTGGTCTTTGGGCGGATATGCTGGGATTCCAAGAGGGACTCTTGTGGCAGTTACATAATCTCCTGTCAACTTGAGCAAAGGGGTGGAGTCTCGCCTATCAATCAGGTCATAGCCAATCAGGCCTCTTTGTAGGCATGGCCTTCTCCTGAGGATTCTTGTTCCTCCTTCCCTTTCCTGCTGTAGAGACATTCCTGTTGACAAGCCACAGGGAGCTAGGCTGATGGAGCTGGAGAGAATCATGGGGAGACCTGCACCAGCACTGAGATGCTTCCACCACCACTGGATCCACAAAACCTTCTATCCACTGGTCTGTGATCTGCCTGCATTCGGTGTCAGTGCATGTGTTGGGTGAATGTGAAGAGGAGTGTATGGACTGGTATCGGACACTGGGCTAATATCAAACTTAAGGCCTCGACCTGGACTGTGCTGCGATGTTTTCTTAATATACAATTACTCTTTGATCTAAAGCTCTTTCTTGTACATACATGAGTGTCCGGATTTGTTTCTCCAGTCTACCCGGACTAACCCAACTCTCCACTTCATAACAAGGGTCAGGACAGTAGATTTTTTTCCCAGTGACCGTTTTCCAAACCCACCGAATGGTACTGTGAAACCGTTCAGTAATAGTGACTCGGTGCTCAAGCAATGGCCACCTGGGTCTGCCCCATGGCTGTAAGGCTTCTGTTTATCCAGAGCTGCAACTCCACCCACCCCCTGTGGGCTGGACGTGGGGGACACCAGCCACTCCAAAAAAAAAAAAAAAAAAGGCTCACTGCTCTCCGTGGGAGTTCTGTGCCTCAATACATACATGGTCATAAAAGGAAACGAGACGCGGTGTTGTTAAAGGACCCAGGGCGATGCCGTGTGAGGAGTCTGTAGTTGTCCATCTCACTGAGGGTCGCCCTGCTTTCTGTCACCTTCGCTTTCACAGAGTGCCATGTCCTTCTCTGGGAACTGTCCTTCCTCAAGTGTCCGAACTACGAGGGAGTCACGAGTCACGTCGAAGGTGCGTTCCGACCACACCACTTCCTCCAAGACAGAGCTGTTCCTCCTCCTGGCCCCCCACTAAACCCCCTGCCTCATCAAGTGGATGGCCTAGAGGACAGGAAGGCACTGCCACTGTGTGTTTTTAAGACTTGCAACCCTTTATGCAAATAGAAGGCCTCATCTTCCTCCTGAGGGGCCCCTGATGGTTTCAAACTGCCGACCTGTAGCTTAGCAGCCCAACATGTAACCACTACGCCACCAGGGCTCCCCTGGCCGTCCTCCAATCTTCAATCTTCACCACCACCATGCAGAAAACGCTGCAGCTGAAAGGGAAAGACTGGCCCCTGCTGGTAGCCAAGGGTAATGGCGACCGATGGGGACGGGGGCGGGGGCGGGGGCAAAGTCCCAAGTCCTAGAGCCCCTGCTGGAGTCAAGCCTCTGGAGAGAAAGGCTCCAGGTGCTCTTCTGGGAGAGGCGTCCCTTTTCCCCTGGCTCCATAGGTCGCCACTGACCAGTCCACACCACGTTCCGCCACGAAGCAGCGTGGGCAGCCAGGGCTGGTGCAGCTCGGGACCCCACCAAGGGCACCTGTTCTGCAATCTCCCATGGGGCATGCTCTGCAGAATGACAGGGGCAGGGCAGTGTAAATGGGCTCCTCCAACCAAGTGGTGCAGAGAGTGACTCGGCCAGTCCCTGTGTGACCCTGCACAGCGGCCTTCCTCTTGGGGTGTGTGTGTGTGTGTGTGTGTGTCTTGTTTCTGTACTCTGTATCTAAAGGTCCGCATGTGCGGGCTCAAATTCCTGGGGGAGCTGATCCATGCATTCCTCCTCCTCCTCCTTCCCCCACCGCCACCTCCTCTCTGAAGCCTCCCCAGGCGCCCTCCCCACAGACAAACTCTCCTGCGGCCTCCCCTGCTCCCCCTCCACACTTGGTCACTGATGGCGGGTAGGTGGCGGTGGTTTGGAATGGACCCAGTGGCTGTGGGTTTGGTTTGATTAGATGAGATGGGCAGGTGCGCGCACATGCACGCACACGAGCTTTACCCATCACACCGCCCTGCCCAGGCCAGTGTGCCCTGGACGCCCCCCACACGGGCTGCATTTTTTCCGCCGGAGCCCCCGCGCAGGCCAGCACCCAGGTGCCGTGAGCGTGCATGCGTGCGTGGGCATGCATGGGAGCGCGGGCGTGCGGGTGGCGGCCGACCTTGCGATGCTGCTCGTAGTTGCGGATGAAGTCCCGCAGCTGCTCCTCCCGGCTCTCCAGCGTGGCGTACAGCTGCTGCATCTGGCTGACCAGGTCCGCCTTCTCGCCCTTCAAGCGCTTCCGGTCGGCCTTCATGGCTGGGGGGAGGGAGAGCGAGTTAGTTCCCTGGGCGCTGGCCGGCCGGCTCCTCTGGACGCTCCAGTCCCCACCAAGCGGGTCTTTAGACGGGGGTCTCCCCACGGTTTCTGAGTCCAGGCCCACCAGTACCCTCTGTCTAGGTGATCCAACCGAGGGGCCAGTCCCGGTGGCGCCATTTCTCCCAGACCCCCAACTGGACGGGTTCCCCCGGGGGTAGAAAGAGCAGGTCTAAGCACCCTCCTGACCCTTAGGGCGCAGAAAGCGGATGGGGGCCCCAATCCTGCCCAGACTTAAAGCACCCTGAAAACACACAAGCTGGGCCCAGCCACCCATCACGCACCCGATCTCGC